TTATTAATTTGCTTTGTATCTGTCTAGATATTATCCTATTTTATTATATAGGCTATATTTTTAACACGATATGATGTAGAATTATAGGCCTATAATTATCGACTGATAAAACTGAACGAGAGTTCTTTCTTAAAACTCTACTTAAATTTTACACTGTTTATAAATTCACAGATTTTAAAGTATGCTTTAAATTTCTTATGTTCTATTAGTATTTAGATAAATATACAATTTTTATATTCGTGTGATAGTTTTATTCTAATAAAAATTTTTATAATAAATATTTTTAAAGAATGCTAATGATCGTCTTTTTAATTATTTGTATTCTAATCGATTGCAATAAATAATATTATATCCTTTATTTTATTAGCAAATATTTTAAATAATTGGAATATTTAGCGATAAATAAATGAGAGGAATTTTACAATTTATAACTAAACCGAAGGTAAACGTAAATTGAAAATTTATTATTACATAAAGCAACAAATACAATATTTCTAGATGTTGATAAATCAAGTTTTGAAAAAGATAATTCTAATACATTTTAAAAACTTTAAAAACGCTTTCATTAATCATGCTTTTCGAGAATATCAGATAGGAATGGCTTCATCCTCACCATATACATCACTAAAGTGCATTTACATTCATACATACATCATGATTAAATTCTAGATTTGGTTATGCTTATCGGTTTTCGAGATGTGAAGAATAATGAAGGTGGGCCACCCTCCTAAAACATAATTAAAATGCATCGTTATTGAACTTAAGTGTGTCCTCAAAGTGGATGAAATTTGAGTCGCAATATCATACAATGAAAGTTACATAAAAAAAAAGTTTAAAAATTTGAATACTCTTTGAATGTTAATAAATTCTTTCTTTAGAAATTTTGCTTTATGTGATCAGCAAACGATATGTAGCTATAGTTTAAAAAAAGAAAAAAACCAACTAAAATATCGTCTCTTCGAAAATATTTTGAACTCTTGTGTCTTCGAATAATTAAACATGTTTCAATTAATGAAACATTTATTAAAATGTATTATTTAATTACAACACAAACTTATTATATTTGCTTATGCAGGGTGCGATTTGAAAAAGAGATCTCCCCCTTCTACCTTTTTTACCCCTACTCTGCTGGAATCAAAATATCCCTTTCTTTACCCTCTCTTAGCGAACTCGTGATTTGATTTTACACAAAATACAAGGTTAATTTATAAATGTAATTGCTCAATTATCATTTGTGACGTTCTAAATTCTACAAATATTTTTCCAACAGATACCTTAAGATCAGCACTCAGCATTAGAACCGAAAGAAAAGAACGATAAGGAAAAAAGATTTTGCTTTTCCTTATCGTTCTTTTCTTTCGGTTTATTCAGTTACCTACTGCTGTTATTACTGCTGGGCATCAATGCACAGAAATGCTTAAGATAAACACACTTAGATGATCTCTTCCTTAACTACAAAAACTCAATGGAGAGTTGCTTGGAACTATAGTTTCTTTTGATGTTTCATGCATGTTTTAAACTGATTCAAAAATTGTTACAATACATGTAGGCTATCTGCAATTCTTTTCTGAGTGCAGTAGTACTTTCTTTAAATCTTCGCCCTACGAGAATCTCTTTTTAGCAAATCCATTGTGGGTTCGGCCAGGCCAATAACGGAGCAGGCCAGATGGCGAAGAACCGTGCCCGACATATTTAGAAAAGACATCAGCCGAAAATTTTAAATTACATTTACATTTAAATGGTTTAAAATTGATATAGACGTATATAAGATGCAAAATAAAATGTATCTGTCTATTGAGTTAAAGAAAATTATAATTTCACGATACAATAAGATAAAAACATACAGAAACAGAAGAAAAATTGATTAAAAAAGATGTTTTACAAAGTTGAATAAAGAGATAACCAAAAGATGATCAGAAATATTTATTAAATACGTCAGCCTATTACGAGAGATTGTTGTTAATGGAAGTGAAACAGAAAGAAAAAAGGCCAAAACTTGCTTTTTAAGTGGAAATATATTCTGAGAATCTTGATAAACTAAAAACAGTATAAAGAATTCTTAGAAATACGATAACATGAAAAATGCCAGAAGGAAACTTAATATCAACAAAATCAACAACACTATCTTCTTCTTGTTTTATGGTCGGTTTTTGTTAAAATTTTGTTTTTCTAGTAGTGTACTAATTTAGTCTTTATCAAAATTTTTCTTTCCTATCTAATTCAAAAATGTTTAATTTAGTTACATATGAAAAATAACAATTTTTCTCAAAATTTTAAATACAGGATTAAGTAGCATAAATTCCAATGTTTTCACAGTATTCATTTTGCTGATGTAAAGATTCTTCTTGTTATTATCATATAATTATCATCTTTCTAACAGTTCTTTATAATCTTTCTTAATTTACACAATTCTTAGAATATATTTCATTATCAGATGTAAGTTTTACAGCACTTATTTTTAGTTTCTACCTTACTTTTTATAGTAAATATCATTCCTGCTTTTAGTATATGTTTCTAATCATTTTTAGCCTGTTTGTTATTTAATTTTTTCTTCATATTGTTTTTCTACATATCACACTGTAATCTAAAATGTATTCTTTTAATCAAATTTCTTATATTTTATGTATTTTTTATTCACTGTAACATGAAATTAATAATTTTCTTAGTCTAACAATAAACATATTTTTATTTTGAGTTTTGTATTGAAGCTTTTTACTTTATGTTATTTAATAGATTATCATTAACTAAGTTATTTTGCAATTATAATAATTTTAAAACATTTAATTTAATTGATTAATTAAATCTATAAATCTGTATGAATTAAATTTGTACATTTTAAATCTTTTTTATACGATTGACATTTATATGATTTTTACGAATAAAAATAAACAAATTTAAACTTGATGTCAAAGTAATATAAATTAAATAATATTAAATTAAACACAAAAAATTCTCCTTTTATTCAAGTTTACTTTTCATTATAAAATTCAATATTATATTATTTAGTAATCACTACTCCAATTAATTGATGTAATAATGAGAGGAAAATAGTTTTATTTCTCGTTATTATTGCATGCAAATTATGATATGAGTATAATAAAATATATTTAATTGATTTAAATCGACTAAATAGAAACTAATATTTCGTTTATTTTGTTCTATATTATGCATTAATTTGACTTGATTTATATAACTATAAACGTAAAAAAATTATTTTAATCTTTGTCCTTATTACTGTACTTTTCTCATGGACAACGTCGGGCATAGTACAGTAAGTAGACTACTTCGTATATATATACATATATATATACGGGTATATGTACTTATTCTTTTGGTTTGCTAATCTTGCTATGTACCTTTAGAGTTTAGTTTGCTTATTTATCACGTTTTATCGTGTTATTCCATATTTTAACTTGTCTCCACTTGTGTTAACTTCAGTATTTTTCAATCAAGATCCTAATTAACACATTTAATAACAAATTGTGAAGGAAAAAGTAAAATAAACGGCGACGTAAATGTTATTTTTGAAAATTAAAAAGGAAATAAATAAAATTATAATTACAGTATATTGAAAACACATTATTTCTTTACAGTTCTAATAAAAAATTAATTTTGAAATTATTATACTGTACCTGGAGAAAGTTACATATCTATTCATACATGCTAATATAAGCAGAACATTTTCGAGTAAAATAAATAATGGAACAAAAGTAATTTATTGATGATAACCACCGATAATTTTTGAAAGTTCTAAACTTCGACCATTTCTTTTAGTTGCTACAAATAACTTATTGATGCGTACTAATGGCACGATGTCGTAAGCCCATATCAATAAAACAAATAAAATATAAAAAGTCTTCATCTCACTCCATTTTTACTGCTAATAATCATCACACTTTTTTCGTTCACAAAGTATTTCAATCCGAATAAAATTTAAATAAATATGTGACATCAGAATAATACAATAGATGTACACGTAAGACAATGGACATAATTAAATAATATCTTAAAGATCAGTCTAAGTAAATTTAATATAAAAATTTAAAGAGTAGATAAATTTCATCGTTAGATAGCATGTTAACTGACTATCCTCATTTCTTATCTGGAAAGAATTCTTCACACAAGGCAGCGATATGATGACATATAAAAAGGAGAAACTCAGTGGCATATGTAAGTTATGTGAAAAATGTGATAAGAAAAACTTCTTCTGTTTATGCAATGATTAAAAAAAAAAAAATGTGATAAGAAAAACTTCTTCTGTTTATGCAATGATTAAAAAAAAAACCTCTTATTTAAACATGTAGTCTGCATCAGAAAATCAGTAAAATTTCTTTTCCTAAAGTACTTATTTAAATATTGTAATAAATATATTAACTTCACATACACAAACCTGTTTATAAATGCAATTATTTGACGATATAAAACTAATAATTTTGGAATATTTTTATATTTTAATAAGAAAATAATTTGTGGATTTTTAATTTTTTTAATTAAAAAAACAATTACAAGATAACTGTACATCATATTTATTTTTAAGAAAATTAAATGATACAAAATTTAAATTATTTTATTACAAATTATTAAAATTATACAATGAAAGCAATAGGTTATTTTGCTGACAGAAATTTGACAAGCAAATTTTAATCTCTTACTAAACGAACAATACATATTTACAATTATAATACATTATTCATATTTAAACAATATAGGCTATAGAAAATGTTAATGTTTACCTTTAAAACACAGGTATTAACGTATTTAATGTATATTTATCTATTATATTATCTATTATAGTATGATAATGTATATTTATCATACTATAATAGATAAATTAGAATAAAATACATTTGTATTTTAATGTAGTCTAATTTAATTAAAACAGAAAAAGTTAGTTATTATCAACAATATAAAAATTCTCTCTTAAAATTTCAAGCATTTAATATTTCTCAAAATATATTTCTTGTTTAGAAATTATTTTATCATTTTACTGTTACATCAATATTAAAAAGTGTATAAATGTCACGTTGGAAATTTTAATTGATATTCTGGATGAAGTATAATTTTTTCAGTTGGTGTATCACAAATTTCTTTATTAATTAAACTATAACATCGATTAGGTATTTCTTTAGCTTTTTCTGGATTTGTTTTATCTAAAATAACATAAAGTAATTGCCAACACCTTACGCATTGAGGATCTATTTGAAGAGCTCTCTGTAACCTATCTATTGCCAGATTAGGTAGGTCTAAAGTCATTAACCAACTTGCTTCATATTGAAGTAGAGTAGAATTACTTCCAATACTGATCTTATCGGCAAAGTTTTTAAGAAATTCTTTAGCATATTTTGTTTTTTCCCTTTTATAAACGGTGACGTTTCCAATTGTAAAAACGTCGCGAAAACCTTTCTTTAAAAATTTTCTAGCTTCTGTAATAATGACATAATTATAAATAGGAGAAGATAATATAGATTTTAAGACTAAAGGGCTATTTTCCACAGAAACAAAATTAGTAACTTTATCCATGAGACAGAGACTGATATTTTTTTCTACTCCAAAATAATTTTTGCTGCTAAAATTCTGTCTGCTATCGATGCTCCATTCTCTAAATTCGTAGTGAGTCTTGGCAAAAATAGGAACGTCCTTATGTAATATCGTATATCCCCCCGTTTTGTATATGGAATAATCCAGTAATAAGCCAGTAACATCACTTTGTTTGCTAACAAAATCCAAGCTCATGTTAACCATACTGGATTCTGTATGATCTATTGTATTTCGAAACATAAAAGCGTCGATAACATACAAAATAATTTCAGCGAAAAGAAGGAAGTCTGTATAAAGAGCATTTTCCGATGCCAGATGTCGAATGAAACAATATAATACGTACACAGTCACAGACGAAATGCAGAGGAAGAGAACAATGACGTCGTGTATAAAGCGTAGTTCCTTGTGAGGCTGAAAAGAGTAAAATACTAATAGTAAAATGACTACTAAGCCTAATTTTGTCATTTTTATCATATATTCGCGATATACTTTGCTGTAATTTACAAATAAAAAACTCCCAAATATTAATAATGTCATCGACGCTAAAATGGTATTTGGATAGTTAGAAACAATTGTTTCTTTGATATAGAACGATATATCCATTCTACCGAAAAGATTCCCTGCAAAATACATCTGAAACCTAATCCACTGCCAGGGTGAAACAAACCATAGTCCGTAACTAAAATAATCGTCAAACCCTCCTGTGAAAATTCCCGCAGACACTCCCAAGATAATTGCTATTATTAGTTGAATATTTTGCAGAATTATCTTTCCTCGAAAAGTTAAAATCAGGAGAGATATGATAAGAATATAATCTGGTCTAAGATATATTAAAAGACCAAAACAGAAACTGATAAAAAGCAAATGCAAAGATATCTTTTGTTTCGCTTCTTCGTTATCTTTCTGCATATCTGTAATTCGAAAGAAATCACTTAAAAAGTAAAAAAGCAAAGGAGAGCATAAGCTATGAATAAGAGTATGAGTCCCCATTTGAATCAATTGTTCCGAAAAAGCTACCAAAATCGAGGATATTATAGCAATATCATCTGGAAATTGAATACTTGTCAGAAATTTGTAGATGCTTAAAGGTAAAAATCCAGCAAGGAATGCGTGGCACATTTTAGCAAACTGAAAAAAAAAAATACATTAAATATTTTAGTATATTATTAAAACATCTTTAAAACAATGATAATTAAATATTTACCACAAATGGATTAGTTTTAATCGAAAAACATTCCTTAAAGTAAAATAAAATGATATAAATTCGAGGATGAAGCCAGCTTCTCATACTGTACATACTTAGTTTCATGTGTTGTTTTTCACTAACGGAGTCTGGAATTTTGGAGGGGAGATATTCGTACGGACGAAATCCATAATTATATACTTCAGAATGTGCAACTATAAATAAACTATAAATTAAACACGATTTTCAACACAATAAACATAAATTAAACACGAATCATATAACTATAATTCTATAAAAAGTACTGTACAAGATTTAAGCTTCTATCTCTAAACTCTATTTTTAACATCATTTCCTCTAGAAAGCAGGCATTTGTACATTAAAGAAGACTGAATCATGATTCACTATGAGTCATCAAAATTTATCTCCTAGATTATAAAAATGACAAAAAAAAAAAAAAAAATTAAAAAAAAATTCTACAAATTATATCATTTACAATTTACTTATTAAGTGATAATTTTATCATTTATATCACATTATATTATTATAGAAATTAAACATTATATTTATATAAAATTTTAAAAAGTTACCTTCAATCGATTGGAAAACTTCATCTGGATGTAAAATCCACCAAGAAGTGGGACTGATGGAGAGACAAAGTCGATTTGCTAACGTTAACACCATTAACACACTAAGAGTATATGGAGGGAAAATAGATTTATTCGAATTGATAGAAATATCCCTTTTTTGATTATAATGTTGCTTTTGTAACGTTTGATTTTTCATTTTATTTAAATTCTTTCTGAAAGACATCGTATAAACTTTCTATCCTCTACGCTAGTCACAGGTAAACGCACCTGTAACAGGTAGGTGACGATAAGGCGCATGCGTTGCCGTAGGTAATAAAGCAAGAAGACAAAAAAGTTGCGTAACAAGAAACGTTGTTTGTTTTATTTCTACGCTTTCTATGTCAGTACAACACTAAACTTATTAATTATTTATTATTCATTTGTTAGTAACTCTATAAAAGCATTGTATCAATATTAACTGAATAACTTAAAACTACATTTTTGTTTAAATAATTATATTGGATTATAAATCAACAAGAATTTTAGAAGATTTTCTAACGAATAAAACATGTAGTCTAATAGAAGAAACTGATAAAATATCATTATATAAGTGTTTATAATAATTATCTATTGACACATATTCGTGATGATAAAGTCCCATCCTAATATTTATCAATAGATGATGTAGAAAATATTTCATAATCATATTTTGAATATNTATAATAACTGGAAAATCTTGTTTTTTTCCGGTTATTATAATGAAAGTCATCATACATTGATTAAGAATAGAAAATAAATTTTGCGATTAAACCTATAATTATTCATTCATACAAGTCATTCATTGTTACTATCACGTTGAATTTATTGTAATCTTTATCCTGGTTAATTAAAAGAATAGTTACAAAAGTTTAATTCATTAATACAGAATGTTGTTTTTGATTTCAAATTGTTGTAAATCGAAACCGGATTCTCCCAGTGGAGACACAGAGACTTTATATTATGGTACTCGTGCGTCAGTTTGCTATATTTGGAACGTTACAAACAGGAATCCATGTCTTCAAAATTTAAAACGAGATTACTTCTGCAGAAGAACGATATAATATTTTTCTGTTTTAGATTGTTTCTTATTATCGTAAATGTTTAAAAATATGTTTAAATTAGAATGATATACAGCAATGCAACGAAACAAACTATAGAGAAATGCTTTAAACTGAGTTAAAATTCTATGTATAGTTTGCTTCTTAATAAGATTTCAAAAATTCAACATAATATCTATTTGAAGATGTCCATAAATTACATAACTCAGAGATGACTTGAGAAAAAGTTAGTTAAGTTCTAGAATATCTAAATATAATTCATTTGCCAGATTTTTCGATAAAGAATAAATGAGTAAATATAGTAATGTACTCATTTAATCGCCATTTATATTCATTTTGCAGGTCCATAGGCAAGATTTAAAAATCACATAATTTTATATTTAATTTTTATGTTATAAGTATTAGGCTATATAAGAAATAACACAGTACAGTGGATTAAGGGAGAATTAAACAAGTACAGCACAAATAAATTTGTTATATATGTTACCGCTAAAGCTCGAAATCCGTTAATGTGTACATTACCTAGCTAATCTGCAGATTAACTAGGGAGATCCGTTAAAGCTGCGAAAATTGTTCAATTTCTCAAATTACCTAGGTAATTTGAGAAATGGAATAATTTTCGCTCTATTCCGAATATATATGATGTAATTTTATAAATTATTAAACTGAGAAATCAATTATTGCTATCAGAAAATATTAAACAACTTTTATAACTTTCAAACTTTTTTATGAATCATAATACACACAATAGAATAGTCGAAATATGTATATTTGAAGAGGATGAATCATATAAATATACTCTAATCTACTGATCCAATTTTCTTTATTTTTTCTTATCCTTTTGTGCTATTTTTTAATGCTTAAAAGCTGCTTAAATAATGAATTTGTTTATTATTTAGAAAACAATATAGTGTATTTCTACTGTAATAAGTTCAATAAAGCTTTATTTGAAGGAATTAAATATATTTATATAATTAATAAGTCATTAATGAAATAAAAATAAATGAAATTATTTATGTTAAATTCCGTAAAAATTGTATAAATTTAATACCTTCCTAAGCTGAATAAAATTTATCTTTATAAAAACTATCATTATAATAACTGGAAAATCTTGTTTTTTTCCGGTTATTATAATGAAAGTCATCATACATTGATTAAGAATAGAAAATAAATTTTGCGATTAAACCTATAATTATTCATTCATACAAGTCATTCATTGTTACTATCACGTTGAATTTATTGTAATCTTTATCCTGGTTAATTAAAAGAATAGTTACAAAAGTTTAATTCATTAATACAGAATGTTGTTTTTGATTTCAAATTGTTGTAAATCGAAACCGGATTCTCCCAGTGGAGACACAGAGACTTTATATTATGGTACTCGTGCGTCAGTTTGCTATATTTGGAACGTTACAAACAGGAATCCATGTCTTCAAAATTTAAAACGAGATTACTTCTGCAGAAGAACGATATAATATTTTTCTGTTTTAGATTGTTTCTTATTATCGTAAATGTTTAAAAATATGTTTAAATTAGAATGATATACAGCAATGCAACGAAACAAACTATAGAGAAATGCTTTAAACTGAGTTAAAATTCTATGTATAGTTTGCTTCTTAATAAGATTTCAAAAATTCAACATAATATCTATTTGAAGATGTCCATAAATTACATAACTCAGAGATGACTTGAGAAAAAGTTAGTTAAGTTCTAGAATATCTAAATATAATTCATTTGCCAGATTTTTCGATAAAGAATAAATGAGTAAATATAGTAATGTACTCATTTAATCGCCATTTATATTCATTTTGCAGGTCCATAGGCAAGATTTAAAAATCACATAATTTTATATTTAATTTTTATGTTATAAGTATTAGGCTATATAAGAAATAACACAGTACAGTGGATTAAGGGAGAATTAAACAAGTACAGCACAAATAAATTTGTTATATATGTTACCGCTAAAGCTCGAAATCCGTTAATGTGTACATTACCTAGCTAATCTGCAGATTAACTAGGGTGATCCGTTAAAGCTGCGAAAATTGTTCAATTTCTCAAATTACCTAGGTAATTTGCAGAGTATCTAGGTAATCTGCACATTAACGGCTTCCGTATCGTTAAAGTTCAAAAGTTTGTTTCTTTCACTTCCTTTCCCCACTCCTTCTTTTTACGTAGATAAATTTAAATCCTAGAATGCAAGCAAGCACCGAATTGGTGAGTAAAATCAAGAAAAGATTCTTCGCAAACCTCTTTAGCGAAGATTTAAAATATAATACGTAGTGTTTTAATAACAAACCAAAGTATGATTCCATAATTGAAGATGTAAAGCAAATAAAAGTTTCCAAGAAGAAAGAATCATCTCGAGATTATCAAATAATTCAAAGGTGTGATGTGTTGACTGTACGAGGCTGTGAAAAACTCATTGAGCCGTTGTCAGATGCGCGAGAAAGGTTTGAAAAAGTTTGTCCATGCCGGAGAATTGTTTGACATTCGATAAAAACTGAAGAAGACCTTGAAAAATTAGAAGATTCACAAGAGACTGTGATTATGAGATCACAGTCAAATCTTACTCAAGAGGACATTCCGTTATCCCCCGCTTCTACAGAATCACCTATAGAAATACAAGAATTTACCGATAGTAATCTTAAACTGCCTTCTATACCGTTGATTGATGATGCAGTCACGAAGAATATTCAGTTACCCTGCACCTCCAAGGAATCGCCTCTGCAAGTTGAAGAAGTCATCACTGAGTTACTCTCAACTTCAGCAGAATCGCCATCACAGTTTCGTACGGAGCCTGTAAAGAGCACTATACAAGACATAGTCTGTATTGTTTGCTCAAAAGCAGCATCAAGTGCTCACAAGTGTAAATCGTGTAATATGTTTGTTCACGCAGTTTGTGGTGAAGTAGATCCTAAAGAGGAAGGGTATGGTAAGAATGTATTGTGCATCATCTGTAAAAAGAATATGGATCAGAAAATACAGCGTGATGAAGCCAAGAAATGTTTAGAAAAGCAAGCAAAGAAAATGTTAGCAGTTTCTAATGCAAAGCACCCAAACGTCGATGAAGGTTTCGCTGTGAGAATTAAAGTACCCGAAGAAGACAGAGCAAAAACTGATGCACGTTCAATTTTAGCTGTGGTTCTTAGTAAAACAGAGGATGGCTTTTATAAACTTGATACTAAAACAGGTATTTTAAAACAATTGTATGCAAAATCTGAATTCAGTGTTTGCAAAGAGAGATTTTTAACGAAAGAAGATGGATGTCCCTGCTGTAGAAATATCTTTACGTCAAACAGCAATAAAACAATCCCTTGGTACTGGGCAGGGTTTCAGAAAATGTGACTGCAAATCTAAATGTACCACAAATAGGCGTGCTTGTCGCAAAAACCAATTGCTACGTAATTCAAAGTGTCACCAATCTTTAGATTGCACTAATAAGTAAGTACAATTTTATCATATGTTTTGCAAATTCATTTCCCTAATTGTAGTAATATTTTAAACCGTTTGATTTTTGTATTAAAGTTTTTTTAATTGATTGATGATTGATTCAATCAACTAATTTGTTGATTGTATTAACTTGATTCTTTAGATATTGAAAATTAAATAAATAACATTATGTTAATTTAAGCGTACAGAAACGTTGCTGTTGTTCCAGCAAAAATCTTATTTTCACTTTACCGAGTGCCTAGTAGGTAATTTGCAGATTACCTAGATAATCTGAACATTACCTAGGTAATTTGAGAAATGGAATAATTTTCGCAGCTTTAACGGATCACCCTAGTTAATCTGCAGATTAGCTAGGTAATGCGCACATTAACGGATTTCGAGCTTTAGCAGTAACATATACAATATACTGTTTAATTTTAATTTTATTTAATTTTTAGTCTCCTGTATACAAAGGCTTACATTCATAATGTTTGTAGTAATTTTCTTTAAAATAACTGTTTAATACATTTAGTATTTGTTGAACTGTAGTGAATTTTTTAATTTAATAACTTACTCTGTATCTTACTCTGTATTTAATAACTTTTACTCTCAGGGGTGCCCGTATATTGAAGTACGTGCTCATGCCCTTTATCGCCTAGTTGCCCTTTTCTTAATCCCCAAGATCTCTAAGGTTCCATGTTATTTTTAAATTAACCTATTTTTGTACGAATTATATTTAGTTTATTACTTTTTAAATTTTTTGCCTACAGATGGCGCTACATGAAAATTCATAAAATCCACGTAGACAAAAATTAATTAATATATAGAAATTCAATAAATATTTTGCAGTGATATGTACGACGTTATCTAAGTTAGTACCTCATCATAGGAACTGTCGAACTTCGTAGCAATTGATCTAACGGTCTAGAATTGTATAGCGAACAAACGAACAAACATTCTCATTTATAGATATAGATTATTTACTAATTTTTATCACAAAAACTGTTTTAGTGATGACAAAATGAAAATAAACGTATTTGTTATTAACCGGAAAATTTGTTCTAGCGGGTCGTGATTGTTCGGTGGAGTATCGAGATACGGCCCACCAGTGACCAAACGGAGCGGCCGGATGGCCGAGCGGTCAAGGTGGCAACCTACCGCTCTGGGGGACCCGGGCTCGAATCCGAACGGGTCAAAAAATCCTCACCGTTCGGATATGTCGGGCCCCGTCCCTCATAACCACCCGGCAGCCCCATTTTGGACCTGGCCGAACCCATACTGGGCTTGCAAAAAGAGACCCTCTTAGTGCCCACAGGGCGGAAAGAGTTAAAAAAAAAGTGACCAAGCGGTCTTCGTTCCCTGAACACTAGCAGTTCGGTCTTGAGTTCTTGCCTCGCTCGGACGTGCTGACCATGTGAGGTTTTCCGGGTTTTCTCCACGTCTGTAACGCCTAAATAGGGACCAGTTTCCCTTAAAAAGACCTCCTGAAAGGCATCGCCTAGGCAGATCGCTCAAGTGGTGCGTTGCCATAATTAAACAAACAAACAGTTAAAACATTAACATTTTTTCAGATTCTCAATCATATTTTAATTTACTTTGTAGGTCTACCGGTATTATACTGTATTTTAATATTCAGATATGTGATTGATCCTTTATGAACAAGCTAGTACCTTACGCATTATTACTAAAAATGGGATTCATTTTCTTTTATGACTCTTTCTGCCCTAAGAGTACGAAGAGGGCCTATCTTTCCCCACACCCATCACAGGTTTGGCCAGGATTACAATAGCGAGGTTGAGGCCGAAGTTTTAAACGCGAAAACGTGTACGTCGGACGTTCAGCGCCGCTTTCCTGTAAGCCTAGAAGTTTGACAGTGGTGTTTGGAATGTCGAGCATGATTCCACTGACTTATCCAAACATCACTGTCAAACTTCTAGGCTTACAGGAAAGCGGCGCTGAACGTCCGATGTACACGTTTTTGCGTTTAAAACTTCGGCCTCAACCTCGCTAATAGTTCTGCCAGATGGTGAGGGACAGTCTAGCATATCCGAAAAATCACCCACGAAAAATTTCTGGAATTCCCTAACCGGATTTGATCCCAGTCTCTGGGTCTGCAGAACGGCACACTGACAGCTTAAATGTCTCGACCATCCGGGGCGGCATCCTGCTTGATTAGTTAGTTTGTTTGTTAAATTAAATTATGCCAACGCAACACTTGGGCAATCTGCCTAGGAGTGTATGCCTTCCAGGAGGTCTTTTAAAGAAAACTGGCCCCTATTTAGGTGTTACAGACGTGGAGAAAAACCGGAAAACTCACGTGGCCAGCCCATCCGAGCGAGGCGTGAACCCACGACCGAACTCCCAGTGTTTAGGGTACGAAAACCACTTGGCTACTGGTGAGCGCTTGATTAGTAATAGGAAGATCAACAATTCAATTTCTTACTGCTATTTACAACTGGTTCGTGCTACGGAAACGAATTACTGTATATGAAAAGAACGACTATGGGGAATCCGGGATCTAATCTGGGTGAACCATTTCAAAAATTTTTCATGGATGGTCTGTCTCAGATATGTCGGGCCCCGTCTTTTGCCACCCAGACGCTCTATTGTGAGTCTGGCCGAAGTACAGTGGGCTTGAGAAAAAGACCTTAAATGTCCATACAACGGAAAGAATGAAAAAATTGTTCACAGAACTGAATAAAAATAAATAAAATATAAAAAAAAGTAAGGTAAAAACGCATTGACAATGAATGAATGACTAAATTTTAAAAATTAACCACTATTTACATAAACAGTCCATTTATATAATTTATCGAATTAATTTAATATCCAAGAATTAACAAAATGTATATCATTTACTTCTGAATTGTAGGCTATTTATTAAAATTTAAGCTTTTAAGATATTAAATTTTCAGTGTTAAATTATTCAATCTTTGAAATTTGATATTCTATTCAAATTATATTTTTTTTGTATAATTAAACGTAATTTTCCATAGTAACTAAAGTAATAAAACTATGTTTTTGCTTAAACGATATATTAACTGTATGATTAATCCCCAAGATCTCTAAGGTTCCATGTTATTTTTAAATTAACCTATTTTTGTACGAATTATATTTAGTTTATTACTTTTTAAATTTTTTGCCTACAGATGGCGCTACATGAAANTAATTATCATGATCTATTTGTCTATTTTATGTGATTTTTTTTCTACAAATTTATTCAATATTAATAGTGAGATGTTGAAAACAGAATTTTATAAAATTTGTAGCCTATTGAATGTTATCTCTTTCTTTATATAATGTATTACATTGAATTTCAAAAGCATTTTTTCATGATTCTGAATTCAAAGTTGGTGTGCATCTTAAAAATCCAAATGTATCTTAAATTCAGTGTGGGCTTGGTAATTCTTCAAAATTATACTGTATATCAGCATTCTCTCCAATTTCAAATCATCTAAATAATACATTTTTTCAGTTAAAAATAGAAAATTTGTAATGCTGAAAAGTCACTTTTTTTAATTCTGCATATTTAAATACGAATTAAATTTTCTTTAACCTAATTTGTTTTACATTTAACATCTGTAAAACAACTTAGATGTTTAATTATCATACAGATGTAGTTGCGTTATTATTAGTTTCAATTTTATTATTATATACAAATACAATGGACTATTTAAAATTATGTCATTTCAAAGATGAAATTGGGATAAATTTAGACTTTTAAAATGAACTTATGTTAAACCATAAAAAATTAAACTACGCTAAATTCAAGCTACATTAATTGAATATGGTTGCATTTAGATACCGTAGTCGCATCGAATTATGGAAGTAAGTTATAAGTTATATAGCGCACGAACTGTATAACTTACAATAACAATCGACTATTTTATCACTTTCATTCAAATTTAGTAAAGACCAGATACAATATTACAAATACTAAATAGCTCAGACGCAAAACTATTTATTAAGCTACTGAACATTGGAATGAGCCATATTGGTTTTTAATAAAATAAAATAAAAGAGAAAAAAATCTTGAGAAAATTTTTATTTTAAATGAAGGTATAAAAATTATAAAATACACTTGTTGTAATAATTTTTATTTTTTTATTTTTTTTTTCATTTAATAACGATAATAACGCTGCACAGTAGCGTCGAGAAACGTCGCCGTAAAGTATTAAGTAAATAATAAGTAAAATCTCAATTTTCTATGTATTTTATTACCCGCTTCGGACTAGTTTTCAGCACCGTCTTTCTACAGTTAATTAGCGCTAATAAATAAATAAATAAATAAATAAATAATTGTGGGATGATGTCCGGATCCGGGAATTTTACTCCATCTTTTCTCCTGTGGCCCTGACACTATAAATTGTACACTTTCACAATAGTATAAAGACAACGAGAAAGCTTTTTATTAGTAAATTGTGTACTTAAAAATACACATAATTCATAAATACGTTTATACACAGATAAAAATAACACTCGACTATTATATTAATATTACAATTCTCTAGTCGTAGCTCAATGCGAAACAATTAATTTAACTTTTTTTTTAATTTTCTTATTTAATAACTTTTGAGAGAAAAATATTAATTAAATCATTCGCTTCATCATCAATCTTTTGGAAATGAATACAAATTCCGGACTTCTACTATAATTTATAAAACGTGCATTCTTCTCATCGCTCTTCTCGCATTCCCCGACGTCCATTTCAATCGATTTGTTCTATATAATTGAAATGTTGCCAGCTCCTGATAGCAACGGCAAAGCATTATGGGTATTGTCGTATATTGGTGATGGTGGATGGAGCTGGAAATTTGAACTGTGTGATAATTTTAATCGTTTCTCCAGTTAAAAGAATAATTTAAATATGGCAGAAGGTAATAAATATAATGGCAGTTAGTCTCGAGTGCATTATTAATATTAAATGCCATTAGAATAATTTTTTATAGTAAAACAAATTTGTTTTAAATTAATTATAGAATTGTGTATTAACAAATGAAAGACAGCTCTACTGTAACACAAGTTGAATGTCATTTTCATTGAGGCATTGAAAATTTTTATCATAAATGGAACATTTTATAGTATTATGGTGCCGGGCGGTGAGGGACGGACCGCTCCCCAAAAAATTCCTGGGGATTTTTCGACCTGGATTTCATTCTGGGTTGGTAAGTTGCCATATTGACTGCTCGGCCAAAAGGCCATCTGTATATGTAGTTTATGAAGGAATTTGTAGCTCTGATATGAGGCTTGTCGGATAATGCCCTCGCTTTATCTTGTGGATACTGCTGGTTGTCTGTTTGCTAGTGTAAGTTTATTGGTGTGAATGCAATGACTGTAATAAGCGATTTTAATATCAAAGCAAAGGAACAATTTTCTGTGGTATCATGATACAATTTAAAGGAACCTTAATATCATATGGTACTTTTTGTTTGGATACATGCAGTGATATGATTGGGCATACAAGCAACATATGCTATTCTGTGACTTACATTTGTAAATGGATAAAGCTAGTGTCTTACAGAAATGATAGGAACAAACGTGGAGATGGAAGATGAAATGATGGAGTCATTCCTGAGAAACCTTAAATGTATTCAGCCAAGCATTACCTTGCTGGAAAATGGCAGTTTTTATCTCTGCCATGAAAGGCAAACACATGAGAGTGCAGGATTTCCTAAACATATTGTTGTGGGATCAATGTCTTTCATTCTAATATTAGATGTGACTGACTCTCATGCAGGATAGCTCCTCAAACCAGGTACCAATAGTAGGAACAGTCTGTTATTCAACAGTGAAAGCAGGATTTAAGTGCTTATCAATGGTTTTCCATATTGTGGTCTGTTCCCAAACAGAATCAAGATTTGTTGTTAATTAATTAAAGACTATATGCTACCAGTCCACAGCAATTCATGCTTCTTTGTCAGAACATCATTGCAAACGAAACATTGATTTTGGGATGCCATTGACAGGATGTGTAATAGTCTCTGTGCATGCAAATTTTCTATGCTAGTTGTCTGCAAAGGGTATGGAAAGTGACTGTTCTGTAATGGGACTTTCACCTGTCTTTGAATGGGAAATAAAGATTTTGTTGGCTGTATCATACAGGCATGCCTTACATTCAAAGATAATAGGATACTGGAATAACAATTTTAAGGCAATCTGGTGGCTTTACTTGTCACACTATTGAACCACAACTTTAATCATTTACATATCTGTCTAAGACAGCAGTATGCCAAATTTTGTGGTAATTGTGTAATTCTATCTGGATTTGTAACTTTTTTGTCAATGAGAATATATGCTCTTCTGTTATGCATTTTTTGGTCATTGGAAATGTGTCACCAGATGGGTTGGTCTTAGAGTATTTTGAAATATGCTGTTGGACTTCTTATGTTGTAAATCTATAATTACAGGTTGTACATTGCTCAACTTTAACTGTTGACACATGAAATCAGCCAAAAATGGCCTTATCCATTCAAAATGAAATTGGTTGATGGAAAAATTGTTTGACTGGTTTTTCTATACTAGTTCCTCTTGTAGTCTGATGAATAAAAACAATTTAGGCTCTAGCTACATACTAGGAGAAAGTTTTCAGAGCATAGAGTTAAATGATGATGATAAATTTAAATGGAAGAAAGGAAGAGTTTTTCAGAAAGATGCAGTCATTCTTTGAATTTGACAGAATTGTTTATAGCTATAACATGTTGAAATATACTTAACAAGAGAGAGAAAAGAAAGTTTGCATTGCTTTCCTTCTTCTCTTTTGTTCCTTTGGTCTTGTTTTTTGTATCTAAATATTTTTTTCTTTTTACTAGTTACAATGAGTACCTGAAGGAGGTCTTTCAATAAGACAAAAATATTAGTGTCATGAAATGTTTTGTGATTGCTGGATTTTTAAGGTATTTCATTGTTTGATCAATAAATATCCAGTTATTGGTAAGAAGTTACTATTAAAAATTTAGAATTATTCTCAAAGCATTTTAAAATTGAAATAAAACAGGACTACTAGATATTTTTGAGTTCCTATTAAGAAATATGTACATAAAAGAGATACAGAAATAATTGTCATGAAGATTAAAATTTGAAATACAGTTGTCCCTCTATAGTCTGACGTTTTTTAATCCGACATGCTCAGTAGTCCAACGCACCTCCTGTCAAGGTACCCGTCCCCGTTACGTGTCTGCTTGCACAGAAGCATGTCGCGATGTGAATCTCCCCATCCAATTTTTACTCGATGACACACATTTCGTGTGTTTTATGTGAGCAGTTCTGTTCGAACAGTTGGAGTAGAGAATATTGTAAGTTACTGCTAGCAAAACAATGCGAAATATGTAATTATTTTCGGTAATCCGGACACTTTTGGTAATCTGACACACCTTTGGTCCCATACCTGTTGGATTATCAAGGGACAACTGTACTTGGAATGGTCTATTGAGTTGAGACTTGTAAAATTAAAATTTAAACTGTGATTTTATAGAAATTTTATTAGAGATATTAATGATATAATGATTAAATAAATTCTATTTTAATATATATTTAACAGTATTATAATTGAATATATACAGAAGTTATTTTGTTTTCTAATTATAAAGATTTTAAGCTGAAGACTAAATCTATAATATATTGAGATGTGTCATCTCTAAAAGCAATCATACAATTACTTTAAATTAAAATAAAAATTAGGTTAAACTAGTAAAATATATTGTAATTTCTTTTCACCATTATCAATATAACAGTGAATGAATTTATGAATAGTGAAATAGTCATGAATGTTTTATTCATGGATTTTGTCATATAAAGGATAATTGAGATCCTCCTCTTCCACCAATATTACAAATGCAAAAATGTTGAAAGTCAAATAATAAAAAAAAGTACATATTACTAAAATGTTTGTGAGTAATTGAAAAAAAATATCAAATTTTTTAATCTTAATGGAATGAAAAGGTGCTACAGTAAGAAGTTATTTGTAGATAATATATATTTTTAAATTTTATGTATGATATGAATATACAGGGTGTTTCAGAAATTGTGTATAAAAAATGGAAGGATTGTAGAGAGATAAATTTTGAATTGAAACTCGAGTCCATTTTTTTGATTTGAAGTGTTCTTTTTGAGTTATATGCATATACCCATTAAAAATTATCATCTGTTTACCAGAAATGTTGTCTGACATATGAAAATATCTGTTGATAATTGATGTTAATTTGATACCATTTGTTCATTATCTGCAATATTAATTTATTACTTAAATTTTGATCCTTTTACCTTGTTCAGTAATGTCTGTAAAAGCATTGGTAGCTTACTAACAAATAATACATCCTTTATTTTTCCATACAGCCATTATAACCTGTGTTGTTACAAAAAAACAAAAAGAGAGTCAAAATTTAAGTAATAAATTAATATTAAAGATAATAAACAAAAGATATCAAACTAGCATGTAATTATCAACAAATATTTTCATATATTAAGTAATGTCATTTTTACTAAAACAGGAAATGCCACAATTTTTTTGATGGGTTATAACTCAAAAAGAATGCTTCAAATCAAAATATAACCTCTCCATTTATTATTATTATTATTGTTATTTTTTTTTAAATACACATATTTCAGAAACACCCTGTATAAGATGATCATAATTAAAATAACCCTATTGTCCAGAGAGATTTAGCATTCTAATACAACAAAATCTGTATGGTGACATTTCAGGCCAGACAGAAGACATTTCCTTAAAAAATTAGTACCAAAATTTAACATTACAGCACTTTGGCACCACAAGTAATAAAAAAGCACTTTCCTTTGCATAAGCATGTGTTGCAAAGTCTGAGTATAAAAGACAACTGTTGAACATCATTATCAGTTACAATGGCCACATTATGCTTGAACACACATTTCTTATGAAGCTCTTTTCATAAAATAACAGCTATGCAGTGGCTGCATTTTGAAGAATTTCTAAAATGATCACTATTTGTGGAAACTGGGATTTGGGTGTTCAACCTAGTCAAGGGCACAAATCCATTATTTCACAAGTTATTGAAGATGCTACCAAAGCTGTTGTTGAACAGTTATTGAATAATGTTGCATACTCCAGTAATGCATATGTAGTGTCACAACAGATGGGTGTGTCCTATGGCATGATGTAGAAAGTAATTAGAAAGTTCATGTATTGTTATCATGTAAGCTTAGCAGTTGCAACCATCAGTGCCAGTTTTGGTACTAAATTTATATAGAAATGGCTTTTGCATGCTCTGAAATGCTTCATCCCAAATTTAGTTGCATTTGGACTACTAAATATGTCTAGTGTTGAATAGGAATACTTTAATTACAATCATCTAATACAATAATTTATAAAAATATCAATATGATGCCATTGTTTTAGAATAAATATTCAGCTGAAAAGTTATAAATAAGTAAAATTTTCTTTTAAATGCCTAACCAGATTCTTTAAGTTATAATGTAAATTTATTCTATGAGATGATGATGATGTATTGTGATTGTGTGCGCTTGCTTGTATGTGTACATATGTGCATGTTTAATGCAAAGAAAACATTCTTGATGTTTTTTAAATTTAAATTTTCAATTAAAATAATATATACATAAGAATTAAATTTCAAAAAATTTTTTTAGAAGGAGGTGACCTTTTAGTTATGATTATAGATCTAACACCTTCTGTTGAATTGATGAGAAAAGAAGAGGTAAGGAATAATTATAAAATTTTAATTTATTTTGAAATTTAAAAAAATTTTGTTTCATTTACAGTTAATTTAAATATTTTGTAAACAGTCAAACTCAGTCATAATGAGCATTAGGGGACTGGCAAGATTTCCTTGTTATATCTGTGAAAAGCAGTGACATAACTAGAGGGAGAGTGGGCAGCCGCTTCCATAAGGGTTTCCTATGGGTGGGTGGCAAAATTTATAGCTATGCCACTGATAATTAGTGAAATCTATCTTTTAATTTTCAATTCTAAATAAATTGATTCAAAAAAAAAAAGTACAGTAAAATGTAATTACATTATACTGTACTTTTGTTAATACTTATATAAACTACAATATAATTAATATTTAACAATTTATTTTTTATAATTAAAGATAATACTAATTAATAATATGCCCGATTTCAGTTTGTCTTTTTATCTACAAATTTTAAAATTGATGATTGCTTTATTTTTTGATAATGTCAATACTATTGAAGATGACAAAGAAACTTTCTACACACTTCGATGTTTTTAGCACCACATTCTAACTTGCAAATAATTTCTACTTTTTTGTAAACTGAGAGACATTTTCTTTTCTTTATAGACATCTTCCTCATAGAAGGGTTCGTTTCTAACTAGAGTATATAGTAATTTTACAATTGTAGTGATGATTAGGTACATTGGCAGAGCAGAGCTGGAAGTTAGTCAAGAAAGAGAGGGGATGGTCTCCAAAAAGAAAGTCAAGTGATAAATAGGCCTATAATTGATGCAGGTCATAAAAGTAATTATCCAGCGGTCATAAAACTAAGTAATAAAATTTTAATTTTCTCTCTTCCAATAATTTGATATTGCATTTCTTACTACTTGAACAGTTTTAAGAATATTCATGTATTTGCTTAGTTACTGAAAATTTGCTCATTATAATTGTGAGAAAATGTATGAAGATATGCATAAATTTATAGTTATTCATATGCAGTAACATGGTGTCAACTGGAGATGGCATCTATGATCCTCCTCCATGAAAAAACTCGCTTTTTGATTAAAGTGAGACAATATAGACAAATTAATTTGTATGTAATTATTAACTTAGCATAATTATAGCCCAATAATTTGGTAAATCATCTAGCTTTAATCAAAAATTGATTGTTTTTTTTATTTGATTGCTTACTGTTCTCTCAATTAGTTGTATTTCCTTCAGAATTAGCTCAAGGTTGCTGTTGAGAACAAATCACACAGGAACTCTCATTTTGATGGAAAAAGCAAGTTTATCTATACTAATATTATAATGAGGTAAAGTTTGTAAGTTTGGATGTAGGAGGTAATCTCCGAAACTACTCATCCAATTTTAAAAATTCTTTCACCAATATTTAGAATGGAACTTCAGAGTGGACATAGGCTGTATATTATTCCGTTAAACATTCATATAAATTAAAAGACGTCATCTAGGTAAGCGTTATATTTTTTATGCAGTGGGTGGCGAGGTGCAAGATGTGTACATGTACAAGATAGATAACCTTGCAGCAAGATACACAGCGCACGTATCCGAACTTGTATATTATATAGATGTCAAAAGCCCCCGCGGGGGAGAGAATTAAGGCTGACTGTGAAGAACTCGGCTTCTATTATACTATTTTAGATGCAGTTTTTTGCATTTTTGATTGCGCTTTAATAGGGTACGTCAAGAGAATGTACACTAAGAAGGAATTTCTCAAAATTTCCTCCCGTGGGGAGTGTTATACATTTGTAATAGATACATTTTGAGTCACAGCAATGCGTGGCCGTGTACAGCTAATTTTCTATAATTTAGAAAGGATGTGCATTTTTGGCTTAATGCACCTCTTCAGACCTATTTTATTAAATATATAGGCAAAAAATTATGTTAGAAATTACAGAATGTATTAAATTATATTTAACATATGCATACAAAATTTTTCTAAAAAATATAATTACCTAAAAATTATTATACTGACAACTGGAATAACTAATTATTGTATATAAAACCTTTGGATAAAATAATTAAAACTGAAAAAAAGTTTTAAAAAGTAAATAAATAAATGTAGTAAAATGTAACACTTTGGCAATTTGATAAAAGTGTTGCAGCTCACCTTGCCTAAGAATTGCATTAGAATAGTGAGTAAATGCTCTGCAGACCAAGGCCTTGAAGGCAGTCAACTTTTACATTGGAGGATCATGTAAAATGGTATGAAGAACATGTTGTACTGTACATAGCCTTATGAAAAACATCTGTAGTGAGAATGCCATTACTCGAAGTGATCACCACTTTGAGTAATGTGTGTTGGTGATCAACAAGTTCAAAAAATTGAATGGTGATAAACAAATCTAAAAAATGCACTTGTTGATCACCACTTTGCTCCAGACATAGAACCCTATGTGGTGGGCATAAGGGTTGTTATAGATGGCATCCAGGAAATTGTGGAAGGGTGGTTCACAAAACCAAATAATCAAAAATGTCATCGACATACTGGGAATACAGTAAGATGATATTCTAAGGACAGTAGCATGCCCTGTTCCAGTTATCTTATACCAGTTTACATAATGTGTCTGAGACAGGATGCCTGATTGGTATTCCCTTAGATTAGGAGATAAACAGTGCCTTTAAAAGTAAAGAGTGAAGAATGACAGATTAAATGCAATAACTCCAAGATGGACAAATGGTACTTGTGAGAATGCTCAATGTTTGCAAAAAGAAAGTCTCATAGCTTACAAAAGCATGGTTCAATCCTGATTGATGGATACATAGACTGGAAATCAAACACTGTAAAGAACACCTGTGATCCCAGAGTAAGAATGTGCAGTCTATGTAGTAACATGTCAGAGTATAGTTAACAACAGAAAGGGAAGTTTGGAGGTGATCAGAGATAAAATGGTTGCGAATCCTCTTGATGTGAATGATAGGAGAGGTGGTCTTATCCAGCCCGGGTCTCATTTATGTGCCTTCCTTGTGCACTTTGGCAAATGCAAAGGTGCAAGATTATGCAGGATTTGAAACAGAAGCCTTTCACATATGAAGGACTCTGGCGTTTTGTTATTTGTAAGCATTTAACCTTTTTATATGTGTTGTATTCTTTTGCAATTGTTTTTATTTTATAACTTATTACTGCATTCCTGTGCATGTGATGTTCATATACAATGAACGTTATAACATTATTTAAATTTCTGTTTCTGTTTGATTTGCATTTTACCGGTAGAACCTGAGAATGGCCTTTGTAAACATTGAAAATGTTTGTTCTTCATTAAATGTTTTTGTTCTTTTAACTCAGTGTTTCTCAACCTCTAACGAATCGTCGCCCTCTTCAACGTAGTATCGCCCCTTCAATAAAACCGTTACATTGTATCGCCCCCTTCACTACAAAATTTCGATGCCGAGGGCCAAGGTTAACGCCAAATTCGTACTACATTGAATAGACTAGTGACTAGTATAATGTTATTTGTTTAATTATTGTGCGATATAACGAATAAAATATCTAATTATTCTTAATATAATGTTTTACTATATCTCCCAGAAAATTGTTTTTTGCCCCCCAAAATATAAATTGTTATTAATTGCCCCCTCAATATGGAAAAATGCCCACATGGGGGTGATATCGCCCCCGTTGAGAAACACTGTTCTAACTGGATTTTAGGTTTGGGAGTATTGTAGTAATATTTGGATATATACATGTAGAGTTTTGAAGTTTAACAACTCTTTAGTTCTTAAAATTAGATATATAAAATAGATGCTAGATTAACAGATTACAATTGAATTATTATATGTATGAATTCAGACTTATTTTAAAGCAAAGACAAATTTTTCAGTTTTGAAATTGTCTTTTGCTAGTTTAGATATATTTATCAATTTAATCAGAGTAAATATACAGTACAGTATATAAAATGATCAATACAAAACCTTCCTCACTTATTTCTAGCCGTTTATACACAAGTACAAATGTTTTCAGTCTTAATAGGCCTTCTTCAGGTACACTGTGGTCTGTTAGAGTGTCAGTTGGTAGAAGTTTAAACGGTGTCCGTTTAAGCATCGGTTGGTAGAAGTTTAAACGGACACCATTTAAACTTCTACCAACCGGCGCTCTAACAGACCACAGTGTACCTGAAGAAGTACCTGAAGAAAAACGTTCATACTCATGTATAAATGGCTAGAAATAAGCGAGGAAGGTTTTGTATTGATCATCTTAAAATAGTTCTAGCTACAAATGCATAGAACAGTATATAAAATTTGATTCAAATGTACATAATAAAGAAAAATTATACCAAATTTTTATTTATGATGTCTACATTCTTGATATAAGAACAGTTCATAACACTTTGAATGTTGACTTCAGAAACAATTAAACAACTATTCTCAAAGAGGAGTTAGGAAAAGGAGTTATATCACATTTAGAAACAGAACTTTACTATATCAACATCTATAGAAGAAAGTAATAAATAATCTCATGGATGTGACTGTTATATTGTATTTCACTCAAAATTTTACTAAGCCTACATGTAACGTTTAACTATCTTTCCAACTTCTACAAAGTTAACAGAAAAATCAAATCTTTATGGTAGAACATACTCCTAAAAACTTTCCCTATATTAGAGAGAACAGCTCTACTAATATGAACCAAAATAAGTATTATAAATGAAGTCTTTGATTTTTCTAAAGATTTTTAACTTCTCAAATGTTATCCCAAAAAGAATTTTCCATACCATTCCAAATTTCTGAATCATGCATCATGTAATTTAATTCTTAACATGCTTCCTGTTAAAAATAAAAATTTTTCATTTTTTTAGGATTGATTACTTGCAATCCAGACACAGTCTTATGTATTAAAACTGGACTAAATTCAAATTTAACGACTAATAAAAAAATAATTTTTATACCTGTGAAATTAAAACAGGTGATTTCTATAGAAAAATTCTTCTAATTTCAAGAATCACCTTCAAATTTTCCTATCATACAAGAGTCAAAAGATATAGATGCATCTTTGTATAATGAAATACATGCAGAATAGTATATTGATGTAGCACAGTTATCTTTGAAGATCATTCTTATGTGGTTTTGTTTTTTTTTTATTTACACCATTTTGAACATGGACAGATATATCAGGCTGGAAATCTACATTTTGTGTGGATTCAGACCATGATTCAATCCCACATTCCTTGCACCAAAAACAGCTGTTCTGTAAGCTGACTTGCAAAAACTCTACTGTGACATGTACGCTGTTAAGAATCTTAAACATATGTGAATGTTTTAAAAGTGTTAATAAACTTATCATTAAATTAAATTGCATTTGGATATTGATTTTCTTTTGTACTCCTGCTTACTCTGTCTCATAAGAAACCAGCAATAGTCTCCATCATCACTGGATTCACTTGATATTTCTTTTCCATGGTTGAAATGTTTGGTGAAACTTTCCATCAATGTTTGTTGTTAACATCTCCAAGATTTTTGGGGAAAAATTTATTTGATTAAAAGACATTGACATTCAAGTTCTCATGTCTGCACCATTTACAATCTTATACCCTACACAGACATGAAAACTTGAATGTTATGGAGACATTTTGTAAAGCAGCAGTTGCAAAACTATGTCCTACAATATGTAATAACATATTGATGAGGGTTGGAAGATCAAAATGCATTTATGAGAAAAATGAAGAAAATAACATGAAGTAATGGTTTTAAAGTCTTTTAATACCGGTTTATAGTTATTTTAACAGTTGTCTCACATGAAAAGTCAGGAAAATGAAAAGGATAATTGTGAATTTTTATTGAAATTTTTATAAAAATTTATATATTTTTAATATAATTTTGAGTAGTTCAATATCCAACTTTGGTAAATATTTTTGTATTTACCAAAGTCAGGTATTGAACAAAAAATTTTGATGGAAAAAATGGGTTTCTTTTCTATAATTTAACAGGATATGCATTTTGGACTTAATGCCCCTCTTCAGTCCTAAAAATATTATAGTGACAGCTGGAATAACTAATTAATAAAAAGTTTGGGTAAAATGAGTGAAACTGTAGAAATAAAAATTATTTTTCTTTCTACAGTTTACACTTTAAAACGAATTAAAACTGGTTAAAAAATTTTTTTAAACCATTTTAATTGGTTTTAAAGGTTTTACATTTTAGTACCTTTTTAATCAAAAACTTTTTATACATTTTAACAAAATTATATTTATTTTTACAGTTTTACTCATTTTACCCAAAGTTTTTATTAATTAGTTATTCCAGCTGTCACTATAATATTTTTTAGGACTGAAGAGGGGCGCTAAGCCCAAAATGCATATCTTGTTAAATTATAGAAAATAAACCTACTTTTTCCATCAAAAAAGAGTTCCTGTGTGATTTGTTCTCAACAGCAACCATGTGCTAATTCTGAAGGAAATACAATTAATTGAGAGAACAGTAAGCAATCAATTTAATTCCTTTTACATTAAAATTTAAACATAGTCATCATAATTATATACTTTTTATTTTAAAAATTAGACTTAAAAAAATTTAATATTTTTATCAGTTAGCTTTAATTTTTAATGAAGTTATTATTTAATGTGAAAATAAATGAAACAATAATGAAGTTGAATAATTTCACCATGTCTTTGATATATAAAGTATATCAGCAATCAGCTATTATAAGGTCTGGTAGGACTCATCACTGATTACAAGAAGTGCCCAATGTAACTGAAACTTAATGTTTTCTCATAAGAAATGAATCAATAGCTGCCTTTTAATTTGTTCTCAGCAATATGTGCATGGTTTTCTGTTATTTGGAGTTTCTTCAGTTTTGTTTTTGATCTGTAGGTTTAGAAGTTGGGAGGGGTCATCTTATACAATCAATGAGCTGCACATGTGAAATGCAGACTGAAATTTGGTCTGTGAATTTCACTTGAAAATTTTAAGTTTTGAATCTTAGTTTTAGAACAAGCAAGTCAATTTGACTCACAGATTTTGTAGTCAAGTGTAAGCTTTGATAAGGGCTTTAATATCTGAAAACTGTGATATGATGTGACATTTACTTGCTGAATTTCAAAACATAGTCATCAGAATTGATAAGAAACAATTTTTTTTCTTTATAAGTAAAATTCTTGTTGCTAATGTTATAACATTTAATAATAGTAAAAATTTATTAAGTAAAATTAAAATAATTTAAAAACTCAACATGTTTGGACTGTGTATTACAATAAATTTGTTGTTATTTTCCTTGTCTTAGAATTTAATACTTAAACATAAATAATAATAATTTATATACAGTTATGTCCCTGATTTAACAGATTAATTGGGTGGGGCAGAAAGATCATTAAGTTGAATGTATCTTAAAACTGTATTTTTAATAACAAACTTACATTGTATAAGATGTATTAAAATGTTATAATGTACATTGAGTAATTTATAATTATGGACTCATTGACCTCACTTTTAATATGTTCTGTTTTCAAATTATAAAAATGGTTCTAAATTTTTCATTTAGGACTGAAATATTTTTTTCTGTCAAATCAGGATTCTTTAAAGTGAGAGCTTACAGTAATTTATTTATTATTAATTTTTTATGTTAATTTATATTCTTCTTCGTTGTTTCAAAAGCATAGTTTTTAATATAACAAGACTACTAAATGTTATACAATGATTAATGTAAAAAATAATTTAATATTTTTTTTATTAGCATGTAATAACACAGTGCATTGATGGAATAATGGTGTTTTGCAATTCTCATTTAATGTTGAGTTCAAGAAACAAATTAGCTGTGATTGGTTGTTATACACACAAAAGGTAACCATTTAAATTGTTTTTATAGTTAATGAGTAAAATTTAATGAATTTTATTTTAGAAATAATTTTCTTATTCTTTATATTAAGAAAAATCTTTAGTTCATTTCTAATGGTTTTGAGTCTTAATTTTGTTATATCAGGCTTGAAAATCTGAAAAATTTAGCAAACATCTAAAACACTTTTCATTAAAAATAAAATGTAATGAAACATGTAATGAAATAATGATATGGCTTTTCAAATACTATTAGTTACTCTACAGGATGTCATGGAAGTTGCCCTGTGGTTTTGTTCTTACAGAGAAGCTATCAAGACACATTATATGTCAGAACATATCTTATACCTTACTTGTCCAGAACATCAGAATGAATGAGCTCCATCATGATCAAGGTAGAGTCATACAATTCCATGTTCATTGAAATGTTTTGCTGAGATAATCTGGTGTGAGAAGAAAATTCTCTTTCACTGAATTCTTCAACTCTTCTGTTGTCTAGTGGTGCTGTTGATTGACTTTTTCTCTAATGAAACTCCACAAGGCATTGTCTGAAGTTGTAAGGTTGGGATTCCTTGGTGACCATGGGAGAAGTGCTGGGGATGCTTCTGATCAACTAACTAACCATCTGTTTTGTAACAGTTCATTCAAGTACCTGTGGATGCTTAATTCAAAATGAGCAGGAACAGTGTTATGTTGAAACGTGATGGTATTTGCTATTTTTGCCTCCATTAGCAAAGGACAAAGCCTCTTTTGGAGCAGCTTTTCATAAATAGCCAATGGTTTTTGGACTGTTATTTTTTGATGGTCATATCAGTGCAGATCAATGTGGACTTTGTCAAAGAGAAAGTCAGTCAATAACCTTACCAGAAGAGTTAAAGAATGCAGTGATAGGAGCATATTCTCTTCGCATACCAAATTATCTTTTCAAATATCTTGGAAAACTTGATGCTATATCAGACTGTCTTCATCATGATGGATCTCATACTAATTGTTCTGACAAGTAAATTATAAACTAAGCTATGTTATACAATATGTTTTGGTATTGCTTTTACAAGGACAAAAAAATGTGGTGACATAGAAACATGGGATCCCATACATATCCTATATTATATATATATATTAATTTCTTAATAAATATATATATATATATATAACCGCATTAAAATCTCTTTTTTAACTGGAAAAAAAAACTAAAAAGATCAATTTATGTCACTTGCAACTGCTTAATCTAAAGTCATTTAAGCGCATTATTCTCTGACTTGGTGGAGAAAAAAATGGCAACATATGCTTTGACCGTTGTAACTGATGTACAGAGTTTAGGAAAGAGAAGAGAGTCGTCAGAGTTTTATTACTGTTAGTCACATCATGGGGAAGAAAGAGGAAAAGAAAATATCCAATTATGAGATGATTAGCCGCTGTTTCGTCACGGAAGAAGCGCTTAGGTATGTTTAGATGGTTTGATGNAAGTCCAATATATTTCACTTTTAGGTTAAATTAATGTATATCAATTAAAAAGAAACAATAAAAATATTCACTTAAAAAAAGTCAGTTATTTTAGATTGTAAACTACAACACGAGTATGAGAGCTATGCAGACTAACCCACTGTCACGTCGTTTAAAGGGGTGGCGCATCTCACCCCACCGAATCAGGTGGTGACAGTACCACCCACAATCGTTCTAGGAAGGGACTCTGACTGAACACGTAGTAGTTTCTTTGATAAATAAAATTTATAATTTAATTTTGTAAATTTAAGAGTGCTTCAAATATGACGTTAAAACAGGGTTTTATATCGTTACAAGTGGGTTTTTTAACATTATCTAGTATAGTAAAATCGTGGGACCGATAAAAATTTGACGTTATATTAGGGTTGTCGTTACATCCGATGTCGTTATAATTGGGTTAAACTGTATATATATTAAGAAATTTTTATAATTTGGAATTAATTTAAAGCAGTTAGGCAAAATAAAATATGTTTACAGATGGAATGAAATTATTATTGTCCATATTGTTTAACAACAAACAATTTCTTAGATTTGAATCAGTAACATGTCTTAAATATTTTAATCATATTATGATATTATGTTGCAAAAATTTGAAAGCATAAATGTCTGAGTAATAGCTGGCCCACTAGTGGCCAAGTGGATAAAACTGGTCAGTGAACACTGGCCATTGGTCACAGGTTTGCACCTCACCAACTGGCTGATCATATGGAGTTATTCAAGTTTTCTTTACATTTGTAGCGCCTAAATAAGGGCCATTTTTCCATATAAAATCCTCCTGGGAGGCATCCCCTTGGTAGATCACCTGCATGTAGCATTGCCATATACAAACAGAGCAATAGCTTTTTGGACTATTTTCTATCAGAAAATAGTCCAAAACGCATTTTGGGTTTTTCGTTTCCATACTTATGTAGTCATTTTTATGTTTATTAAATATTTTCACTTTGATTCCTGAAAATTTGTGCCCATTGGTCTGATAAGCCCTCACTATTGTCTGTCTCATGGTTGTTGATAATTTAATTAATACAAATTATACCAAAGGCTAGAAGCAAACTTTTGTAATAAGTATAATTTGCTTTAAAAGTCAAACTTTCAAAAATAAATATTTAAATACTGTATTAATAACAAACCTCAAATAAGTTTGTGCAAAGGAAGTAATAACCACCTTTAAATAGTAACTACAGAGAAAATATGCAGTTCAAAATAATAACCATGACTATTATTTAAAAAGAAAAATATTTAGTAGTTGTACAATGATATCAGTGAGAAACTAGTTTAAGATTTTCTGCCTAATAAGGAGTGATTGAATATATATAATTCATACTGCTAAATATAAAATAAGATTTTTAAAAATTTATTTATTTTTAACATTTACATATTTAATTTCATTGTATTATATATTTTAAGATATTAATATACAAGCATCCCCCTACTTATGTTTCTGAAAATCAGAAAGATTTTCAGAAACATCAGTAATCTGTTTCTGAAAATTCTACAGGACAAAGTTAATTGAGAGCAGCCTATTTTCCATTATTTTATATTGGAAAAATTATTATCAGTTACATTAAACCAAATTACCAACCAACTTTCTAAAATGTAACTAAAATAAATAAAACATGTATATCAAAGTAATAAATTATCAGAAATGAAAACCATATTGTTTGGTCATCAAGAAGTGATGGTTTAAGCATCACTTCTTGATGACCAAACAATATTATTTTTATTTTTGATTTTTTTCTACTCTGTGGGCTCTAAGGTTTTTTTTATATATCCATTGTGGGTTCAGCCAGGCTCACAAAGAAGGTGACTGAGTGTGAAGGATAGGGCTTGAGATCTAGGATAGACTACCATAAAATTTTTTAGGTTGATTACACAGATTTTATCTTTGGTCTGATAGAATGGGTTGACACTTTAACCACTTTAGCCATCATCTAGCCCCATCACAAAATTTGAGAATTAAGAACTGAAAGACATTCTATTGGGAAAAAGTTCAGCTGGAATGTCTGTGTGTGTGTATATATAGACATACAGACATTCCAGCTGAACATATATGTGTGTGTGTGTGTGATGTATATGTATTTATAATAAAGAAAATTGTAATTTTTTTAATAATTTTTTTTCTAGTTGCTTTCTTTATCCTCATCAGAATGCAAAAACTGTTCTTCAGTCTAAAGATGGACAATATGAATTATTTTCTGAAGTTGATAATTCAATTAAAGAAAATATCAAAAGTCTTGTTCTAGAGAGTAAGAATATTTTTATGAATTAACTATTTGTATATAGATGTATTATAATAAATACAATTATATAGACTAACTTGCATGATATCAAATTATGTAATTAAATTTCAGCAATGTAAATACACAGTATCAGTAATATCATATTGTTTGGTGATTTTATTAATATTATAGTCGTTATTTATCCCAATAGCATATGGCAGTGGTTGGCTTTGGTAATATCAATACTGTATAGCCAATTTTGTCAATATTTATGCATTCAGCAAATTTATGTATAATGGGGGAATCCGGGGTTAAGAGAGAGTTCTTTTGTCCATGTTCAGCTTCAGATCTGTTAGGTCTGCCCATTTTGTCAGTGGATGGGATCGTAGAATGGTTTCGTTGTTACAGGAAATTTTTACGATCTTCCGTTTTGAGTTTTCCTGACACCAGCCTAATTAGCATGTTAGGCCCGCAATGTGAAGTTTTCATACTTTTATCCGAGGGGAGGACTCATTTCTGTTAAGACATCAGCATATATTTTAGATTAAGAATGAGACTATTTTAAACAAACTAAAGCAAAATTTAATAAAAATGACAATAAATAAAACACAAATAGGAAGTTAAATATGAACAGTTTCTAAAGTCCCTATTTAAATGCAAGAGAAAGAGTTTACATCATTATAAACATATTACCTTGGTTAACAATTGTTGATCTTTTCGTTGGACGAATGGACAATTGGTTTTTCATTGATATTCTTCTTCTGGAGAGGTTAATTAGCAATACTCAGCTGATGGTTGTCAATATATGGCTTGAATTGGGACTGGAGGAGGATTACTGTAGGTTGGAATATAATAATAAAAACGGCAAAAACTGTGAAATGGCGAAATGGCAAAACGGCCTCAAATGGTGGGAAATTGCCCTTTTTATATGTAAGTCTCTTCCAATCGAAATTTGGGGTTTGTATCAGCTGACGGGATGTACAAATGAGTCAAACGACCAGATGTTCATTAAAATTTGAGATAAGCTCTTGTGAAAGGAAGTTCGATTTACCTTTTTGAACACAAAAGTGACAAAAGTGTTCCTTTTTAATGGGAAAAATTACTTTAATATAATTTCTTGAATTTATTAAGGTAGTTTCTATTTGAAAGGAAAATGTCTTTTGTTTCTAATTTACGAAGGGGTAGCAGTCTGGACCAAGGCTCAAATTCTAGCTGTTTTCTTTAGATTGATTAATTAAAATGGGTTTTTGTAATAAATTTTATATCTTATTTTCAAATTCTCATGTATAACTATCATTTAATGTATATTAGCATTTTAAATAAACCCTGAAGGTCTACTGCAAATTTTAAAATTTAAATTTAAAAATTTGAACTTTTTTTATTTGTAAATAGAGCATGCTAAAATGTTGGATTAGTGTCAATCAGTATAAATTATTCAATGCACATTATATTATTATTTTATTCATATTTATACATTATAATAACAACTGAACATATCTTGCACATTTTAAATTTGTTCTTAGTATATGTTTTTAAAATGTGTTTGATTTAATAAACTTTTACAATAGTGGAACTCCTTCCCCAACTAGTCCATTAAATTGAAAGTCTACTGTATTATTAAAAAAAGTTAGGCTGACACCAAACCATACAAATTCAAAATCATTGGTTGGAACTTCAGAATATAATTTACTAGTAGCTCGGGACGCCCCCTAGTGGGCGTTCTTTGCAAATTTCCATGAGGCATGGTTCCTTTGACTTTTTTGTTCCTATCAATATGCTCTACAGCTCTGTTAAAGTCAGAATGGTAAGATTTACCCTCCGAATGAAGAGGTGGCAACCCCCCAAACCGTAGACCCCTGTACTAACAATAAAGTCAAAGGAACCATACCCCTACTCGCGACCCTTCGAGAGATATAAGCCCCTGAAATAATAAATTCCTATTACAAATATACTGAATTATTTATATTGTTATATTGACCAAATAATAATTTATTGGCCAAATGAATAATAAAAATTTATATTGTTAATTTAAATAAGAATTAAAATTGTTAATTTGAATGTTTGAAATATGACACACGATAGGGGCGCCTCTAGTATCCGTTATCAAACGGTTACAGGACAGACGGATACCCGTTGAATGGGTTATATATATATAGATAGCTATAATACAAATGAGTATTACTTGTTGTTTGCACTTTATTTAATAATGTAATATTTATTTACATTACTTGAATTACGTACATTATTTATTTTATAATGTATTTATCATAAACAAAGTTTAGAATTTTAATACTTGACTTATACGATTGATTTTTTCCCTCTCTATTTGAATTTTTTTTTTCTCTATTTGAAATCTTTATTTTGATTCACCTGTGTTACTTTATTATTTGTAAATATAAGTATCTATATTTAGGAATAATTTAATACTTTTCTAATTTAAGGATGAGTTGTAATTAAATAATATAATTATTTAAATATTTTTTATAGATACACAAGAAATTGTATCAACTGATTCACTTCTTGCAGGTGCAATCTGCATGGCATTATGCTGTATCTTTTATTATTTGTTTTTATTTATTATAATTATATAAAAGTTTTTGAATATTAGATTATTGGTCATTACACTTTCAACATCTATGGAATCCTCATTTCTGAGTATTATTTTTTTGGAACTCTTAAGCAATTATGCTTAAAGAAATAGTGTGAAAACATTTCAAATTTTTTTATTTTTTCTAAGTAATAAAACTTCTTATAGTTAAGATGTAGTTTAGAAATTTTCTATTTTTTAATATTTTTTAATGAAAATAAAAATTTTGCATAGATATTTATAGAAGATTGCTTTTGAATATCAGTATTTTAGATCAATTGTGATTTATTATTTATTTATGTAAAATAATAAATTTATTATCTTCAACAAATAAAAAGAAAAATGTATTTATTATTATTATTATTATTAATTTTATATTCTTTACATGCATTTTGTATTTAATATTTTTAATGTCATTGGTAAAAGTATTTGTTGATTATAGATTTCTGTTGGATATGTTACATATGGATATATATGAGAAAACTACAGAAAATTTGACTCCAAAAATCTCAAAACAAAACAATATCAATGATTTTTCCATGAGCACAAATTTGTTGTGCTCATGGAACAAATTGGCTCATGTGCATGGCTCATGTGCACAAATCTTTGTGCACAACAAATTCTTCGTTGTGCACAAAGAATTTTGACTGGAAGAGCAGTGAGCTTGGAAGTTTACAAAAGAGTGAAAGATCAACTGCTGAAGGGAATTTGGCACATTAGGTTGGACATGACAAAATTTGATGACTGATTCTTGCTGCACAATACAATGTGTCCAAATATATCAATATTGTAGCCATTGTCAAGCAGTTTCTCAGATAGAAAGCATTATAATTCTTAAGCATCCATTTTACTTACTGGATTTGCACCTGCCAATTATTTTGTTTTCCAAAATCAAATTCTACTAAATGATACTATTTTGACACTATTATAGATGTCCAGAAGAATTTGACACTTGAATTGAAGAAGGTTCCACAAATTGAGTTCTTCAGAATTATCCAGAAGCTATATGTACGTGCCTACAGGTTTATAGAGGTAGAAGGGATGTTTGTTGAAAGTTAGAGTAATAAATGCTTTTCTCCAGATTTTAATTCTTTTGAATTTTCCTAATACTTTTCAGATGAATTGTATTTTATTCATATGTTGTCATGAATTTTTTTCCAAAACCACTAAAGGCACCTACATGTATGCCTTGACTTTAGTGCTCTCTCATTCATTTTCTTTGCATCAATTCATGCTTTAAATGAGCAATTATTTATTGTGACATCACAATGCTGGGCTGCAATTTGTAATCATATTCTTGATTTATTTAATTTAAAATATATGTTCTCTATCTTAAATTAGTAGTGTTTTGCCCCCTGTGCATTATACTTTTCTTGATAACAACAGGGCCATGCCAGTCATCTATGCAGCTATTAAGAGGAAAATTTTTGAATTGAATTCACATGACTTCTGGTCTAGACCCCTAAGCTTTCCATATCTGGTCTTGACTTTTATTTATTTTACTCCATTCTTAACATTAAGGAAGGTGAGACAGATGGATGACAGTGGGAATTTATAGGTCTACAATTTTTTCAAATTGCAGCCAATGATATTACCAAACACTTATTTTAGCTTGCATCTTGAAATCTGATATTTTTATGGTTATTTTCCTCTGTATACTGCTAATAAAACACACCTTTAATAATCCAGCTAATAAAAATTAATAATGTAAAAACGTTTTTGATCGTTTCGTAACGATTTTCTTCAGTTACCATAACATAGAATAAAATCGAACACAGAAAAGTTTTTTGTGTTTGATTTTATTCTATGTTATGGTAACTGAAGAAAATCGTTAAGAAACGATCAAAAACGTTTTTACATTATTAATTTTTATTAGCTGGATTATTAAAGGTGTGTTTTATTAGTAGTATATTTATCCAGTTCGTTCGTTATATAAGTATTCCTCTATATATAATAACTCTCATAGAACTGTTTAATAGCTTCTCTTTAGAAGTTGGCTGTCAATTTTTTCTATTTTAGTTCTGTGTAATAAATAGAAGTTAAGATATTGACTCTTTAACCCATGTCATTGGATATCATTGACATAAAATTTTTTTTTTTTTTTTTGTGAGATAAGTAGGGGGTCAGGGGTTATTCCCTTCTGACCACTAAATCTGCATGGGCTGGTAAAACCTGATCTTGAGGTCGTTGGATGGATAGGAGAGCAAATCAAATGGGAGTGCATTGGTAGGTTGGCAGGGGTCCATGGACAAACAAAAGACAGGTTTTAACGTAACAAATATATAAAATTTATTATAAAACTAAAGCTAGAATATACAGATCTATACATGAATAAATGCAGTTACAAATTGAAGTGAATAAATGCAGTTATGAATGCAAACAAATAGGCTTTAACTAAACGTGTGCTTGACCTAATTTCCCTGTTCTAAGTTTTTCTGCAGAGAGAGTTTACAAGTTTAGCCCCCTTTTTAAATACCTCTTATGTGTATTGAAGAGTTGATGTGGAGAACATCCTTCGTATGGATGGGTCATTGTCATGGATGCATTTCCAACCTGTTTCTTCTCCTCTTCTTGGATCCTGTCCGAGTATGGAGGTCTGGGAGATGAAATACACACAACTACCAAATTAATGTTCTGATTAACTGCTCTTACTCTCGGAAGCATGGATAGATCCATGCTTCCGAGACAGGGCCATGCCAGTCATCATGGATAGATCCATGCTTCCGATGATCATCTCTTTTATTCTTTCATCGTGGGAAAGTGAGTCACGTGCTCGTCCAATGTTGACAGTTACGGTGCCAAATTGACACTTATGAGTCAATTTTCCTATCGGATTGTTATGACTAAAAGTAACCTCTGCTCTAATTCTTACCAAGATTGTTTTGCTGTCAAATTTATTTACAAATTCCTTGACAAATTCAATTTCCGACAATTATGAAAATTCACAGATCTCACATTTTACTTAAATGCTAAAAATAAACTAAAAATAATATTATTTATTTAATTAATATGTAATATGTGATAAATAAAATAGAAATGAAATAAGAAAATAAAAATAATTGTCATTTGATGGTTATTGGTATCTTTGACACTTAATGCAGTTTAGACAGTTTCATTTCAAATATTCTGTTTTACTTATTATAATAACATCAACAATTTTAAACTGCTTATCAGAAGTGTCATGTTTTCACTGGCCATTTCAGAAATGAGGTATGAAGTGTTGTGGATGAAGCAAAGTTTTATTCTATTATCTGTATGTATTACATGACAGAAATATTATACTTTTTTACAGGATTTAAAATGTCAGTTTTATTTATGACCATTACATTCCTAGAATTAATTTATTTCAAAAAGTTAATTCTTTTATGATTTGCATTAAATTATTGACATTACATATTGTCAATAATTTAAAATTAATGTAGATATTGTTAAGTGATTTTATTTTGGTAATGTATAAATATAATAAATATGAATCATAAAATTTGAATTTCAGCAAACAATTTAATTTAAAAAAAAAATTAGTTTTGTAGCATATTTTCCTATATAAACATCAGATATTAATCGCATTAGAAAAGAACAGTTGACTAATAAAAATATACCTTCAAGAATTTTGGTAAGATAACATTTTTCTGAAATATTAATTTTAATAATAGAAACTATATATAAATAAAATTTTTATTAAATATAAAGTTTTGATATTTTAAATTTCATTTTTATCTGCATTAGAATTGTTTTGATAAATTGACAAAGTTGTTTAAAATTAATGATGAAACAATATTTTAGGTTTTTACATCATCAGGTGATAATGCGTCCCAGTATATGAATTTTATGAATGCATTCTTCACTGCACAAAAAGAGGTATTTGTTATAGTAATAGATTTTATTGATAATGTAGACAATTCTAAAACATCAAACAGTATTTGAATATTATTTATTATTAACTTTACAAATGTTATTAATTTTAAATATTTTCTTACTGTGATTAGTTTTGGTTAATATCTTATCAGTTTTTCTCATTCTATTCAATTTATAAAACTAATATGAAATCACGAATAAAACTTATTATTGTAAAAAATAATTCATTTTTTAAAATTGAAAAGGTAGTATTACACGACAGGAATATTTTACTACTGTGATAATATGCATCTTTTATTTTTTTGTCTTTAACTTATTCACTCTTAAATATTCTAAAAAAATTAGGCAATGAATTGCAATAAAAATAAATATTTGTACTTTAAAAAAGCAGCAGGAAATTATCATATGCTCGAATTTAAAAAAATGATTATGTGGCTTGAAATTAGTGTATTTTGTTGTGTGCAAGTGCATTCATATACATATGTGCTATTATTACACTGTTATAACATTTTACAGTGGAGCATTGATTATCCAACCCCTGATCAACTGTCATATTGGTTAATTGACCGCGTTCTAGTTGGCAAATTCAAATGTCCACTAATGATGTGGCACTACAATATTTGGCTATGTTTGGCTACTTTAATATTAATTTTGTTAAATTTTTGCATGTTTTAGCTGGCAATACTGGCTCGACCATGAAAGTGAGGCCAGTATTTAAACAAGGCTTAATTTTCTAATTATGAGTGGTGGCTTGTTTTGTTAGCAATAAAATAACTTATAAATAATTTTTAATGATACAATAGTGATGATTATTTTAAAAACATTTTGTTAGGCTTAACATCGATGAAAATTCAACACGAAGTAAGTTAATAGTGATATACTAAATTACATGGGATATACTAATATATTAATATACTATACTAATAATGTATTTTTTCATACGTTTTGGTTATTCGTTTTTTTCAGTTATCCGATCAACCCCAGTCCCCAATTGAGTCAGATAATCGATGCTCTACTGTAATTTTAAGAGATGACAGTAATTAAATTGTGATATTTCAAAAATTTATTGTCACTTTCTTCTCTATAGTGTAGAAGGGTTCATTGGTAGATATAATTGTTTTGGCACAAAGCTACAAGGTTCTGTGCTATATTAAGTTAAAAGTTGATGCACAACAGACTTTTTATATACTTTATATCGATTATCTGACTCAATTTTATATCAAGGTGCACTGTAAAGTACTATATTATTTTTTTCGACTTTCCAACGATTATCGACACTACTGTGTGCCGGAAATAGCCGTTCCCTAACGGGTACTTTACGCGGATTCGCGTTAGTGTGCCAGGCCTGGACTTTAAGCGTGCACCGAATTAAATAATGACAAAGTTTGTCAATAACAAAATCAAATATTTAATTAAACTTCTATTAATAAACTCTATACAGTATTTAGTAAAAATCAAACAATAATTTATTCAATGAAACTCAACAAGAATCAATCCGACAAACTCAAATCAATCTATTTCTAACTTAATTCTATTCCCCTTTGGAATTCGACAAAATCAAAGAATTAACTTATAAACAATAATTCTTATAAATTAAAGATCCTAATCGTCACCTCAATATACTAGGAACCTATTTCCTCAACTCTCAAGACTTTCTATAATCGTCGATCCACAAATCGAATAACTTCAAAATCCTATCGGACACCTCTCTCGTTCACTGCTACGAAGCTCACCAAAGCTCGTTGCTATCAGGAATTCACCTCGTTCGTTTTCACTTGAGTTAGAGGCTTTATAGTGTGAGGTGACGTCACAATTCTGAATGAGCTCACTCTCCTCATTTACATACTTATCTGTAACATTAAATTTTTCTCGTTTATCTGGCAGATTATTTTCCGACAATACTTCGCTAACCTTTTACATTATTCTTTTTAACAATTATCGGGATGCTTTATTATTTTAAGGTTTAGCGATTCCTAACTGGGTTGTGGGGTCTCCCCCCCCTTTTTCTCGGTGCGGACTTACTTTTTTCCGCTTGGGAAGCGCAAGTGTGCGCGAGTTTTTCTACGGCGCTTTTCTTTCGTCGGTGAGTTGGTTTTTCTTCTATTTTTAAGTTACTAAGGTGAATGGTGAGGAAACCTTCGTCTTAACTAAACATAAGCCCCAAACAAAATATAATGAAAGCAAAATAAAAGTAAAATAAAAATAAAGCTCAGACTTGGTTCCTTACACCCCTTCCCCTTTAGATTAAAGAGAAATTTATTTCTCTTTTCATTTAAAGCCAAAAATCTCCAACTCTTCTCTTCTAAAGGAGTGCGCCTTATATACAATTGCTGCCAGGTTTACAATTAAATACATCCCTTACAGTGATTTGACATAAGCGAGAGTGACTCGTTGCTTAATAAATTTATTTTAACTTAGTTATACAATTGGGGAAAATGTTGACATAGAATCACATACGAGTTCCAAGGCTTGTTGCCATTTTCACGCTCTTGTTTGGCGTGAACTGGGGTGAAGCGTTAACCCCAAAATTTTTCCTAACGATTTATTATCTTTCTTCACGCTACGGACTGATTGTCGGTTATAGTTTAGCATTGTTAATTGTTTTAGTGAATGGTTACCCCAGTCCGTTATCGTGAGAAAAACTTTTTTTTTTTTTTTAAACTCCCCCCCGTTTAACCAAAATCCTTTCCCCTCTAGGGATCCTTGGATTACAATTAGTTTGGTCAAGGACCATCTGTAAAGAAAACTATATTCACCTATGGTTTCCTTCTCTATCTTTGAGCTCTCGGCTTCCTTGTGAGACCGGCGAGTTGTCTGTAATCCACTCGTTGTGTCGGTCGTAATCGTCGCTGGATGACTCCAGACGGTCTTGCTCCGGCGATGGACGGCGAGAATGTTCCGTGATCCATCGACGATCCCGTAACGGAGCGTGATCCTCTATCGTTGCCCCTATCGGTTTCGGGTAGGGGTGTAGTAGTTTTCCTCTTCGGAAAAAGTGTGTATCGCTTCAGATTAGCGATATGTTGACTTCCGTGGCTGGCCCCAGTGTGGGGATCTTTTATCTCGTAGACTACTGGCGAGATAATCTTAGCGATCTCGTAAGGTCCTGACCACTTAGGTGCCAATTTAGCGCTGAAGCGTCTTCTAGAAGAAGAAATAGGGTGAGCTTTTAAGACAACTAATGAACCCACCTTGAATGTATCTGGCCGCCTTCTTAAATTGTAAGCCCTTCTCTGTTTTTGTTGCGCAGTTCGCACGTTGTCTCGGGCTTGTTTTCTTATCTGCTGCAATTCTGCCCATTTTTCTCTAATAGTCGTAGGGCGACTTGGATAAGACGTCAGGCGGTCCCACGGGAGTGCAATCTCTCTCCCGAGATGTAGTTTAGCTGGCGTATACTTTGTCGAATCCTGTTCTGAAGTTCGTAATGCCAGCGCTAATTCTGATATATGGGTGTCCCATTCTTTATGGTTCCTTTCGATGTATGCCGCAATCATCCTACCCAAGGTGCGGTTCACTCTTTCCGTAAAATTCGACTGAGGATGATATGGCGTCGTCAGAATATGCTTAATTCCGGTGCGGTCACAAACTTCCGCTAGGAGGTGAGAAATGAATTGTGGCCCATTATCGGATATTAACGTTTTAGGCATGCCATACCTGCAAAAGTATTCTTTATACATACAATTTACAACATTTTCTGCGGTAATCTTCCGCAGGGGAAAAATTTCTACCCATTTACTGAAGTAATCAACCATAACAAGAAGATACTGATTACCTTTGTTGGACCTAGGATAGGGTCCCATAATATCTACGCCTACCTTTTCCCCTGGTTCCGTTACCTCGGGGACTTGCATTAGTCCGGCCGTTTTCTTCTGGTCGAACTTCGTTATCTGGCATGTATGGCATCCTAGTACATATTCTTTTATGTCCTTTCTCATTCCGGGCCAATAGCAACGTTGTTGTATTTTTTTCGTAGTCTTTCGTACACCTAAGTGGCCAGCAGTTGGATGATCGTGTAGTTCTTGTAATATATCCTTCCTTAAGTTGTAAGGAATCACTGGTCTGTAACCTCCAGTGTCGTCTGTTTTCCGGCTATAATACAAAACATCATTTACTAGCCGGTAATGGGATGACTTACCTACTAGTTCTGCCGACATGGCTGGGTCATTTGGTAAGTTCCCAGTCGCTAAGTAATCGTATAGTCCGCTCCACTCTGAATCAGTTCGTTGAGCGTCTATAAGGTCTTTCTCTCGTTCAAAGGTCGTTACCGCTAACAGTTTTGCGGCTATGTCCGATTCTTCACTTGGTTGTGGATCTTCCAATGGACGTCTAGATAAAGCGTCTGGCAATTGATTGTCCTTTCCACTTCTATGTTGAATTTGGAAACTAAATTCCTGTAATCTCAAAGCCCATCTCATTAACCTACCTGAGAGGGATGTAGAACTATTAAGCCATCGTAATGCAGAATGGTCCGTTACGACGGTGAATTCTGTTCCGTCTAGGTAAACTTTGAACTTTTCTATAGCCCATACAACGGCTAGACATTCAAGCTCCGTGGCCGTATAGTTTCTTTCGGCTGCGTTTAACGTACGGCTAGCGTATGCAATGACTTTTTCCTGGCAAAGCACTGCTCCCAGTCCTACAGTGCTAGCGTCTGTGTATAACGTATAAGGCACACCTGGCCTAGGAAGCTGCAAAATAGGTGCAGTTATTAACTTACTTTTTAGCTTTTCAAAAGCTTGACGGCATTCTTCCGTCCACTCCCATCGCTTCCGTTTCCGCCGTAATTGATACAATGGTTCGGCGATAGTTGCGTAGTTAGGTATGAATCTACAGTACCAGCTGCACATTCCCAAAAAGGTGCTAAGATCCTTCGTATTTCTGGGCTTCGGAAACTCTCGAACTGCCCTTACTTTTTCGTCGTCCGTCGCAATGCCTTTATTGCTGACTTTAAATCCTAGGTAATGAACGTCTGGGCGACAAAAATGACTCTTAGCCAATTTAAT